TTGCTGAAAATTCCTCAAAGAAACACATTGCAAAGCAAATACATTGTTAAACGAAGCAATCGCTAAGCGAGGCACCACTGTATCTCCTTCTTAACTCAGAGATAAAAATTCAAACATCCTCCCAAGCACAAGTACACAATGGAATATGTCTTCCTGTTGTTTCTTGGGATAGCAGATTGTGCTTTTTCTAGAGGTCCCTGCAGATAATGATATTTCTCTCCTTTTCTTTATTTCAGAACGTTGGCTGTGACTATGAAATAGACTCTTATGCCATGGAGGATCGGTGTGGCGTATGCCATGGAGATGGATCCACCTGTCAGACAGTAAAGAAGACCTTTGAGGAGACTGAGGGAGTGGGTAAGGCAACTTGCCACATTTGGATGAGGGCTCTAGTTAAATTCATTCTACTCATCTTGAACCCTCTTGCCCCTTTCTCGCTCTGAGAAGTTCGAGATACTTTAGTCTGAAGGACTGAGATTCTCTTTTCTTGAGGAGATGAATCTGTAAAGTAATAGTTCACATTTTTTAAAGCAGGATGCCAGGTCTCATGGATGTTTGCTCTTTGGCTTGTTCACTGTTCCACTGTGAATTATTTTCTTCACAGGAAATGCTAGTTTATTATTTGTCCATCCACACATGTGTACATCTGTACACTGTGGTTTCTGCACATATCTACACTCTTCAGAAGCTTATAGATAGAGTTCTAATGGTAGCCTTACCCACATATCATGTATCAAAGAGCTGTTCTGCAGTTCTGTTTTCTCTTCCAAAGTAACCGCACTTAGGACCATATCTTAGAGTTCAAAGCACTCATATTTTTGGTAGTTTATATTCTTTATTCACATTTCCAAAGTGTTTTAAAAATTGTTGGTATTTTTAAAAAATTACCATTACAATAGACAGTACAGAAGTCTACAGTATAGTACATAGTACATAACTAAGTATAAGAGAACATCACAGAATATATAACAAGTAAATATAATAAAAATAAATTTATACAACATTTCTGAGGTGGAGGGCAACCTGAAAATTGTCTCTCCTACTCACTTTCACAACCAGTACTTGCAAACCCATCTGATTGGTTCAGAACTCCCTCTAGTGTGAGGGCAACTCTGGGTTACCAGTCTAATTCCTGCCTCTATTTTACACACACCCTATTTGTCTTATATCCAACTTGCTCCTTTTTAGGTTTCCTCTCTTCTTCCTCTTTGTTTTTCTTTTAAAATGCTCTTTTACTACCAACCTCAGCCTTCTTCTGTACCAGCTGTCACCCAAATATTTGCCAAGTCTATGCCTGAGGCCAGAAGGGAGGAGAACAGCCCAGGCTTTTCCAGGGGCTATCAGTGCTGAAAAGAGGAAGCTGTGTTATTATTCCCAACTACTTCAGCCAGGTACGTGGATGAGACCAATGAAGAGTCAGACCTCATTAACACCCAGGAGACACCTGCCATTTTGGCACTGTCAGAATCACTAATTCCTTACAGGCAGCACCCCTTCTTCCAAACATATGCACCTGCTAAGCTCTGAAGAGTACTGAGCATATAAGATACCACAGTCAAGGTGGCAACAGTGGAGGCAGTAGAAGGGGACAGGACATTGAGAACTCCATTCTTCCACCTATTACTGATGGACATTTTCCTGGCTGGGAATTTGTTTCATGGATTAAGCTCCTCATTATTATTTTATTTATTTATTTATTGTATTTATACCCCACCTATCTAGTCATTTCAACCACTCTAGGTGGCTTACAACATAAAGGATAACTAGTTCAAGAAAAATTTATAACAATTAATTAATTAAATGATTTTGCAAGATGGGAAAAATACAAAATAAATCAAAGAGAAAAAGAATAAAAAGGAAAGAGGACAGGAATTAACTGGAAGGGAAGACCTGCCTATACATCCATGTTTTTAGTTGGTTCTTAAAAGTATCCAGTGAGGGTGCAGCGCAAATCTCCAGAGGTAGGTTATTCCAGAGGCGAGGAGCCACCGCCGAGAAGGCCCGGTTTCTAGTTCTTTCCTTCCGGGCCTCCCTCGGCGTCAGGCTCCTCAGCCTCACCTCCTGGCTCGCGCGGGTGACATGGGTAGATCTAGTTGGGAGTAAGCGTTCCGCCAAGTATCGAGGTCCTAAACCGTTTAGGGCTTTATATGTAAGCATTAACACTTTGAAGTCAATGCGGAAACGGATGGGTAGCCAGTGCAGCATGGCCAGAGTAGGAGAGATATGTTGGTATTTTCTCACTCCAGTAAGGAGTCCGGCCACTGCACTCTGCACCGCTTGAAGTTTCCGCATCAGCTTCAAAGGAAGCCCCACGTAGAGCGTGTTACAGTAGTCTAATCTAGAAATTAGGAGCGCATGTACTAAGGTAGTGAGTGCCCCCGTGTCTAGATAAGGTCATAGCCGGACGTAGAGAGGAAGGTGACCTGTTAAACTCAAAGAAATAAAGATTTTCCAGCAGACACAGGACTCCCTCCCTTTTGATCGACAGGCAACCCACAATTTCTGTCTGCCACTAATTCCTACCAAGACTTCCAGCTTCTGATCAAAGAGACGAGGTAGATACATGGAACTGGGGATACTCTCACTGAATACACTGTGCCCACAGCTATCTGACGAAGATTTTAAAGAAAATCTCCAATTCTGGCTACCATTTTCTTTCTCAAGCATGGAAATCCACAAATGCAATTTTGAAGAAGAGGGTAGAAAATATTTTCTACAGGGCTCATAACCAACAAAGTGCTCCAAGCAGAGCAGCAATCGCAGAAGGTTTAGCAGGACCTTTCTAACTCTGTCACTGATCTTCTTTCCAATACAGCGGTGCCTCGTTTAACGAGTGCCCCGGTTCAATATATTCCTCTGAAGAGGAAGACAAAGATTGTTCCATTTCCTCTCAAAAGCCACCTCATCTTCTACTTGAAACTTCCTCTGAAGAGGAAGACAAATATTGTTCCATTTCCTTTCAAAAGCCACCTCATCTTCTACTTGAAACAAACAAACAAAAACAAACAAACCATAAATGCATCCCTCTGATCCCAACTTTCAGGATAAGCCTTCAATAAAGTGGTTTCCCAGGCATCAGATAGGGTGGCAGAAGTTCTTTTCCATGCCAATTCATGGATATCATTAGCCAAGAATGGAGCAAGCTGGCTGCATCACCGCTGCCACCCTAGCATCTGTGAAAAACTACTATGACCTACTGCACTAAGAAATTAACAAACTACAGGTGCCACTAGTGAACATCCTTATCACTTCCTTAGTATTTTCTTCTATTTATTCCAAAGATTAGGAAGACATCTTGAGGATGTCTCAGCCCGTAGACAAATCTCAAACCAGGCAATTGACACAAGAACCTTCCACATCAGTCTTCTCTCATGACATGCCACATGAAAGCAATAACAAGGCAATATATAGGACAAGGCAAGCAATGTATATATAGAGCCAGATTTCAGTTGAATATCAGGAAAAACTTCCTAACCGTTAGAGCAGTACGACAGTGGAACTAATTGCCTTGGGAGTTGGTGAGTTTTCTAACACTGGAGGCATTCAAGAAAAACTTGGCAGATGTGCTTTGATTGTATTCCTGCACTGATCAGGGGGTTGGACTTGATGGCCTTGTAGGCGTCTTCCAGCTTCACTTTTCTATGATTCTGTGATATAAAATCTGGGAGACCATAGACCAATGAGTACTAAATACTGAATCAAATCATGCTACAAGGTAGATCGCTGCACCCTTCCTCACATCTTCACCTCCTCCCCTCGATCCAAAAGAGAAAAGGAATAGCTCAACATACTGCACACCATATGTTATCTTTTTGAAACTGCAGCCAGTTGAGTCTCCTAGGCTTTCAGGAACAAGTTCAGAACAAAGTGTTTTGATGGTTACAGTCAATTTCACAACAAAAGCAACCAAGAATCACCAAAGAATGGCATTTTCCTGCTCCCTCAAGAAAGAGGCAATCCTTCTAATGATTTGGCAGAGTCTTGTCCTTTATAGGTGGAACATGTCCAAGGCACCCAGAACGCTTGAGCACACTTGGACAATGTTGTCATCAACATCACATTCTAGAGATTAATCTTTTCCTATCACTGGCCAACAACAAAGTAGTCCAGTTTTTCTCTAGGTTTCAGAGTGCAGGGGTAGAGAAGCTCAATTCTGTTTTGGCAGCATCTCCAGAATGTCTCCTGTATGCCATCTTTCTGATTTCCCTGTTGAGCTAGGGGGTTGGGAGGATTGACATTGATAGTCAAAAGGTATTTTTAATTGCATTCTTTTGGCCTTGGAGGGTCAAAAGAAGGAATCTTTACCCTGGGGGGATATAGAAGGACACCCCCCCAAGTAGAAAAGCATTGGAAGTATGCTTGGATGTCCTCTGGGCAATGGCATGCAGCCAGCAATCCTTCACTTTCAGAAGCATTGCACTGCAAACTTGCTGATAAGCAAAGTGACCCAACAATCCTTTTTAGGACCATAAATGATAATGATTTCTATTAATGCAGAGGGCATCTCTTCATCTAAAAAAGAATTCTTAGCTTTACTTTGCTGTGGACAGAAATGTGACATCCTTTGTTTCCAAGATACAGAGGAACTGATTAGCATTGACCAAAAGTCTCTGGGATGTGTTTAGTTGTTGAGAGGACCCACAACTAATATGGAAGTGCCGTTTTTGTTAGACTTCGTATTGTAGTCCACTTAATGGACATTACTGAAGAAACCTTGATGATTGAACTGGCTGTGTGTAAATCACCTATACTTTAAGAAATAAAATAATGAAGCTCTTATAAAATGGGCCGAATCCCATTCATTGTGCCTTATACATGATCATAAACTAACCAGTTCAATTAAGATTGGCAGGTGGAAGAGAGGCTGCAATCCAGATATTTGTTAGTGATCCTATAACTCAAAAGTGCATTAAGAACGTAGGTGATCCAATCCCAAACACTCAGTACAGACCAATTCTATGTCAGATTTATTCAGCCATATGACTTCAATCTATACCTTGCTGTTGGAGGTATAATTTTTAAAAAGCCAACTAGGGAAAGTTTACAACAGTGCTAGATGCAGTTGTGCTTCAAATTGCCCCTCAATCTGAGAACTATGATCAATTTGTAACTTCCATTTTGGAATGTTCTTGTTTCCATTCCAAGAGGATGCTGGACCAACCACATCCCAGATCTGATTCCAGAAACACATGCCCAGTTCTTAGATTATATTTCACACTTTGAAGAAAATCATTTTAGTGAACATACAGTAAAAGCTGGGAGAATTTTGATTTTGAGACTTGCAGAAACGAAAAGAATATGCCAGATAAGTACTATTCTTCATAAATGTTTCTGCAATTATCATTGGCTTCCAAATCAGTTTTTCCATCTTTAAAAATTTGCTTGCATCTTCTGATGCTATTTCAAATGGATTCTGAAACATTCTTATTTCCTTATTATGCTTCTGGCAATCATTGAATCTGTTCTAGAATTCCACCTGCAATAACTTTGGTGCTTTGCTGTGTCTTTCAGCATTGAATTGTAAATTCCCATCCATCTTAAATTTTAGTTCATTGCAACTTGAAAAGTTTGAAAAGTTAGTTTCACTAACTTGTTTCACAAATATGCTTAGTTCTGCTTCAAAAGTAGTTCTGGGCATTGCTCTTTAAGGAGGATGCCAACAGACTGGAGCAGATTCAGAGGAGGGCAATAAGGATCAGGGAACTGGAAATCAAACCCTATGAGGAAAGACTTGAAAGAACTGAGCAAGTTTAGCCTTGAGAAAAGAAGACTGAGGAGAGATATGATACCACTTTTCAAATACTTGAAAGGTAGTCATATAGTGGAGGGGCAGGATCTGTTCTCGGTTAATCCAGAGTGCAAGACACATAATAGTGGGCTCAAGCAGCAGGAAGCCAGATTTAAGCTGAATATCAGGAAAAACTTCATTTGGTTAAGCAATACAACAATGGAACCAGTTACTTTTGTTAAGCAATACAACAATGGAACCAGTTACCTGGGGAGGTGATGAGTGCACCGGTGCTGGAGGTATTCCAGAGCAAATTGGTAAACCATTTTTCAGATATACTTTGATTTGGATTCCTGCATTAAGCGAGGAGTTGGACTCAATGGCCTTAAAGGCCCCTTTCAACTCAATTTTTCTATGATTCTATTAAAACTTTTCAATTCAGAATACATGTCAAGTTTTCTTTTTTCCTGGAGCCTTTGATTCATTGTGTTCAGATGCTCTGTAATATCACTTAAGAAGGCCAAATCAATAATTCATCAAGGATTACTTTCTGACCTTTTCCTTTCTCCTTGAGAAAGTCAACAACTTCATGATAAAGACAAAAAAATGTTTGAAGACTTTGCCTCTGCTAAACGACCTGACTTCTACATGGTACAATATTTCCATATTCTGCATCTGTCTCTGAGAGAATATTTTGAAACTGATTATGAGTAAGACATGATACTTGATGTAACTAATGCTGGGTACAGCAATACACACCATAACTTTCCCACTGATTAATGATGTACTAAAATTGCATGGGAAGTGTTCCATTCAATTTCAATATTTCTTCACTGATTCTTGCAACTACGCCAGTTTCATTTCCCCCTATATTTCTTGCCTTATCAGTTGTGATGTTTTTCAATTTATCCCAGCACAGATCTGGATTTTCTACTGATCCACAGACCTTTTAAGAATATGTTTTATGCAATGCTCACAATTCTTCTGTAATTCTGAAGATGGAATCTGTCCCCCTGATAAATAATAGTAGTTGAGCAGGGTCTATAATGTCATTACTCTTCTCTAATGCCAAAGGGGGGGAAATTAAAATTATTTGCTTTCATAATCAGTGACCCTGCAGCTCTTCTCCTAGTTCTTCAGCATACCTGGTGATTGCAGATGCAGATAAACTGACACAACTAACACAAGATTCCTTAGTAGGCCACATTTCCTCCATTATTTTAACCATGCACTTTTAAACAGATTAACCATCAGTGAATGCCCTACCACTCTCAGCAATATATTTAGCAACATGATCACTGACACTCACAATTCAGGCTTGATTTGCTGTACCACCCAAGTTCAAACTTATTTTTAATATGTTTAGTTATTAGATGGTTTATGGTTCACACCTTATGCCCATTCCTACCTTTTTCCTCTCTCCAAAAAATTTTTGTTTGGTAATGTCCTTATATCACTTGACAGGAAGGACGACTTCTTGCCCACAGCTGACAGGCAGTTCAATTCCCTGAACAGGTTATGTTGATGTTGGGTTAATCCCACCTGGGGCACGAGAGATTCGGATTGAGGAAGTGGCTGAAGCAGAGAATTTTCTTGCCTTGAGAAGTGAAGACCCAGAGAAATACTTCCTGAATGGTGGCTGGACTATCCAGTGGAATGGCAATTACAAGGTGGCTGGAACAACCTTCACATATGAGAGGACTGGAAACTGGGAGAATCTTACTTCCCCAGGGCCCACTGAGGAGCCTGTGTGGATTCAGGTATTTTAAGTAGGGTTGGCATTGTCAGTGGGTCAGGGAGAGCCAATCGAGCAGTCTGCATTCATAATCTGCCTAAACTTATTGGATTTGCTGGTGGAGACATTATTAGTGGAAACAAGGTCTGCTTCAGTACCCTCGCTGTAAAATTGGAATCAGGGTAGCCCGTCTCATAGAGCTCGCGGAATCGTGAGTGGTCGGTCTCACCCCAGGGGCTGGACCCTCATTATCTGCACCTGTGGGGGGGGATATCCATATACGAATACCCCCACCTCTAGTATGCATGTATATATTTGCATTATATCTCACATTTTTCGTATCTTAGAAAATCAATGTGGCAGTACCGTGACCAAAGTCCTAAGGTACCTTCATTCTAACCACTGACCTTGCTTAGCTCCAACAGCAGAAGTAGTAAAAATCTAATCCTTAATATATTGTTGGACTGCAATTACCATCATTCCTAGCCATCATGGAAGATGATAAGGAATCCTGTTCTAGTCAAACATGTGAAGGACTGCAGTTTGTCTGTTCCTGTTCTACAAGGTCATGATGTCTTCTAACCATGTTCTAAAACCTTGATTTAATTAATTAATTGAAAGCAAAGTGTAGATTATAACTAGTACTTATTGACATAGTCCATAGGCTATTTCAGGATGATAGTAAATGTCTTAAAGAAATATATTCCTTAATTATATGTGAGGAATGTGTGAGAGTGGATATCTGGCCCCAAATTTAAGTCTGATATTACAGTGTGAAACATTTTGGCTTTACCTTTCTTCCATATAAAAAGTATGATTAATCTTCAATTTTTTTGCAAATGATTAATCTTGTAGCTGTTACCATAATAATAAACTCTTTCCTACTCAATCCAGTTGTAGATTACCAAAAATAGAGACATTTCCAAATTTATACCTATTATTTCTTTAATCTTTTTGAATATCTTTTCCCAAACTTCCTGAATCCTCTCAACATTCCCATCACATGTGGAAATATGTACTGAGGTCTTTCTACTTCTCCAACATAGAGATGCAAAATTCATTAAATTCAATTTAACCAGAGTTAAGTACCATCTCCAGATAACTTTATAACAATTTTCCTTAACTCTTACAGAAATACTCTTCAGTATTAATTTATTCCATACCCTCTTCCAATCCTCAGTATTTATTTCCTCATTTAAATCCAATTGCCAAATGTCTTTGAGGCTTGATTATTATTTTTAAATCTCTATCAGTATGTTATATACTTTGCTTATTATTGCCTTTCTGTTATTATCTTCTATTCTTTCCCTTTGCTCTCTAATTTCTTCAGATTTTGTCAAAGCTCTACAGTTACCATAATTCTTCGCTCATTGTCCAGTCTTCTAATTGGATTATATTAAATCAATAATTTTCTTTTCTTTTCTTAGTATTTTACTTATTTGATTTCTCTTATACATTCTCCTTAACTAATCTTTTAATTTAGTGAGACACTTCTTTTTTATCATCTTTCCTATACTCTTCTCGAGGTTATCCGGAAATTGATCTAATAACTAAATTTGAGTTAATAGGTAAACAGGTGGACTTAAAATCTTGCTTTAGTGGTTCCAATTTTGCATCATATTTTTTAGAAAGGGGTTATCTATATTTGTTATAATCTTATTATCTTCCTTAAAAATTATTTCCATATATTCTTGAGCTTTTTATAACTCCAGTTTACACCCAATTAATTCTTTATCTACTATAATATTGGGAATACTTCTCAATTGGTTTGCTACATAATAATGTTTAGTATTGGGTATATCTAATCCTGCCTCCTTCTGTGGTAAATAACATAAATATTTGTTTATCCCTGGTCTTCTGTTCCCATAACAATATATATTAATCATCCTCTGCCATTTTTTAATTTTATATCTGCCATCTTCATTGGTAGCATCCAAAATAAAAAATTCATTCTAGGTATAGTCTTCATTTTATACAGCACTATCATTCTGAACCAAGAGAGGTTTAACCTTTTATATTCCCTTAATTTATTTTTAATTTGTTGCTTCATTTTGTCAAAATTAACTTTTTATATATCTTGAAGATTTTATGTAATATTTATTATAAAATTTTATGTAATACAGTGGTGCCTCGCTTAGCGATGTTAATTTGTTCCAAAAAAACATCGCTATGAGAAACCATCGCTAAGCGAAACACCATTTCCCATAGGAATGCATTGAAAACCAGATAATCCGTTCCAATGGGAACGGATTGCCGTC